TACCTTTGTCCAAGGTGAACACAGCATATCTAGCCTGTCAGACTCCATTCCTAACAGAGCTACTTCCATCTGTAAACATGGTGTACTCAGCATTGTCAGAGACGTGGAGAAAGTCCACCCAAGACACAGCAACAAAGAGAAAGGCTTTATAGGAACAGAAGTGACAGGCCGGTCACTAAGGGTAGGGATTGTGCTCACTGGGAAGTAGGGAAGTTAGGCTTATGTAGAGGTAAAGGGCAAGGACCACTGAGCTGGCGTGAAAATTTTGGCAGATTGGCTTTGACTGAGATGTGTGCGGGAAGATCTGACTTTGGCACTTGTGGGAGGATATGTTAGGACATTTCTGGGAGTGGGGTCGCCATCTGTGGTTAGAGTAGGATGTTTGTTAGGGCTGGTGGGGAGGTTAGAGTAGGGGACTGGGTTACCCTGGGGGTTAGGACTGAAAATGGACTCTAACAAGCATCTGTCAGGGGGCTTATTTTTCAGTCATGGTCTGATAGGGCCAGCTTGGTGGACAGATACTTGGCAAGACTGAGTGGTCTGCAGTTACTTAGGAGGTCAGTACAGCATGTGGCACATGGACAGTGAGTCTCAGCCTGAGGTGAACTTGTCAGCTTTCTTGATCAAAAGGACAGTGACTATTAGAGTGCAAAGGCAAAGGCAATCCAGTCCTGTGCAGCTGGATCCAAGTATTTGTACAGGTAGGCCCCTGGGCACTCCTAGGGGCTGACAGTCTGAGTAAACATCATTGTTTTTGTGAACTGAAGGATCCAGATTCTATAGAAGCCAGCAGCTGCAAGAAATTTGCAGGTTTTTTTCTTGTAACCAGTTTTTGCCAGATATTGCAGCAGAGCTTTTTTGCCTTTCCAGCAGGCAGTTTGGGTGCCATTAATCAGAAGTGCAGTGATATTTTGTGCTGGGAAACTAGTGAGGTCAGCTGTGAGGGCTTCTCTAAAGAGGATAACAAGTTTTTGAATCTCTGGGAGGTTGAGTCCAGGTCAGTTAACCTTTGAATTCAGAACTGGGGTCTTTCCATTTAAAGACAAAGATGGGCTGGATGACAGGAGCCAGTCAAAGGCAGAAGAAGGCATTCTTTAGGTCCAGGCAGGTCCACCATCAGGCTGTGGGTGGCAGAAGACTGAAACAATATAGAGAGGGCAATCACAGCAGCTTTGGCAGCTCGGAGATCTTGAACTGGCTTTACATGCAGGAAAGGTGTATTTTAGCAGTTTGACAGTCTATAGACATTTTACAATTTTGAAGCCTCATTTTTATTTTCTTGGGGGACCATGGAAGTTGACAGAGAAACAGACTGTCCAGGAGCCAAATCGGTTGTTAGGGCCTCCCCCAAAATAGTGGGAGAGTTCCCAAACCCTTGTGGCAATTGAGTAGCAGTACAAAAACGGTGCTGGGTTGGGAACTATAGAATGCAAGGTGATGGCTGCATGGTTGACAGCAGGGAGATTTTGTCCAAGGTGATTAGCAGTCTACCAGGCTGGTGTGTGGCTGGATGCCTGTTTGTGCTTCCCAGCAATAGGGGTCACAGTGAGGTGACATGGTTGATGGCCAGGCCCAGAGGCAAGTCTTTAGTTCATACCACGGAGAGGAGAGTTTTCAGAACTTCAGGATTGTGGTTATCTGTCTCAAGTGTCATCTGAGGCTGATGCAAGTGTCATCTTCTTGTCAGGAAATAGTCAAAGTTGAAACTACCAGGTTAAACAAGAGGGAGGCTAGCTGGCTGCGGCAACAGAGATGGTCACTTCTAACTTGAAAAGGAGGTCTCTTCCCAGAAGCAGTATGGGGACTGGCTTACACAGGAGTTCGTGTTTGGTGAGATGCCCTCCCAGGCTGCAAGTTTGTACCTCGCAGAAGGAGCAAGAGGCAAGAGTCCCAGTTGCTCTGATGATGGTAAATTTATGACAGCGGGAACTTTTGAAGGCAGAGAGTTCTGTTCCATTGTCTACCAGGACAATCACTGGTTTGCCCCCGACTTTTGCAATGACTGCAGGCTCATGAGGGCCCAGTTTGCTCACAGACAGGGGGCATTTATTTTTGTATGCATAGCCAGAGGATATAGTCATCTATCTGACTGGATTTTCTTACAGACATCAGATGCTTTTCTTTTATCAGGTTCCTGGGTAACAGTGGTTGATGGGCTTTTTGTCCCCCTCTTTGATGTCTTTGAGAAGCACTTGACTGGGTTGTTTCTAGGCAAAGTGATCTTTGGAAAGGCCATGGCAACTCATTAGTTAGGGCTGACAGTCCAATTTTTCCTCAGTCAAACGTGGAACTAAGAAGGAATTGCTGTCAGTCACCTCAGGTAGTTGTTAGATGATGCCATCTTACCAGGATAGAGGCAGAAGGCCCTGGAGGAAGGGCCTCTGTGGCCAAATGTAGGCTGTGGCTAGCTGGAACCAGTTGGTTGGAAGTAGATGAGTCAGGAGTGGGGAATGAAGCTATAGGTGTTGGCAGCAGCTACGGTGGCCAACGAAGGTGCCGAGGCAGAATTCTCAGGAAAAATAGACCACTTTTTCCTTTTTTTTTTCTTTGAGATGCATGGAGTGGTTTGGTTTCATTTTTAACTCTGTAGAAGCCCTTTTTCCTGCAGTCAGGGACTGTGGGTTTTGATTAATTAGTTCCCATCTCTGACTTCCTACATGTGTGTTGAATACCATTAAACAATGGCACAATAGACAAAGGATGGGTGCTCCTCAAAGAGAGAGACCATTCAGATGCCCACCTGGCCATGCCCTTGTGGGGATTTAGACACAACTTAGCTAAGGAGGGTGTGAGGCCTTCGTTATGCCATGTCAGTCACTACAGAACTGCAGGTGAGGGCCCAATCATGCACCACAACCAGTGCATCCCAGTCTTGGTGCACAGACAGAGCAGCCTGTTTCTTAGGCTGTCCATTTCATGCACTCACACATTCACTCAACAGGCACTCAGAGGTTAAACATTTTAACCCCCTTCCCTTGAGGGTGGTCCTGACTAATGAGGGTTGATCATACTCCCCTTCTGCTTGAGCTGAACAGGGCTGACAGACTAACTGGGGTGGCCCTGGGGGTCTTACCAGAATCAGGCAGACAGGCAGACAGACAGACAGACTGTATCCTCCTCCCTTTGGGGTCCAATGTAAGCCACTCAAGCAAAGAGCAAGGAATCTTCCTCCAGACTTCTGAGGGGACTTCAGAAAGCTCAAGGGTGTACTTTCCCATCAGGATCTGGAGACGTCCTTGCTCCATCTGTCAGGGCCACAACCAATGGCCAAAGGGGTCAGCAGAGTCACTCTTCCCAGCTGATATAGCAGGTGCAGTGGTAAACAGAAACACCAAAACAACACCCAGGATTTGGAGGAGGTTTATTTATGTCAACAGGCACTGATTGGGATCATTCCCAAAATATCAGGCCCCAAAGGCTCAGGGAGGGAGGCTTTTATGGGGTTGCCAAGGGGAAGTACAGAGGTAGAATACTTGGCTGTATTTGATTGGTTCTTACAATATGCATCATAGTGACCAGCTATGCATCACAGTATCCTGCCATTTCTAGGAGCCAGAAGCATCCAAAACTGTGATAGAACTGTTATCTGGGCAACTACCAAATTGAAGTGTACTGGCTCAGAGGGGCCATTTTCTGTTACAACAGCATAAATGTCATTAATCCATATCATATTTTTGACTTGTGAGCAGTATACACTTAACCTTGAACTCCTGTTTCTTGCAGTTGTCTGGGTCACCATGAAATTTGTTCAGGCTTCACTCTCACACAGGCTGAGGAAGTGTTACTCTCTAGACTTCAGCACTGTTGCTAGCTCAACTGCAGTAAATGCAGCCATGTGGGGTCAAAAGCAAGGTTTTGATCTGTTAGCGATTAAGATCATGAACTCAGATATTAGGCCAGGATAGATCAAGTAACTTAGATGGACACTAGTGCCCAAACACCAAAGTATGGACAACAGCAAAATGATCTTAGAGCTTAAGCAGGGATTAAGCTGCATATCAAGACTGCACATCATAAAGGCAGTGTAGATATGAATTATTATTAAATATTGTACTCCAGTCTGTGTAGTGGAAAAAACAAACCACGTTTGAATGAATTAATCCAAGAACTGCAGGACATTAAAGTTTGTATAAACACATTGTGATAAGTGACAGGTTAATAGTGCAATCTCTGGATCAGACACCCTAAGTCCAAATCGAGCTTTTGCTACCTAATAGTAGATGGCTTCAAGCAAGTCTCTGAGGATATTAATAGTCCTTGCTCTTAGGATTCACTCTTAGAATTATTGTGAGAAAGAAATGAAGTAACATAAGCAAAATGCTTAGAATATTTCCTAGAAACTTGTAAGCTATATAAATATTTATTTTCATTAGTTTGGCATTTGAAAATCATAATGGATAAAGTTATGTTTAAAATGTTCAAAACTGCTGGGTGTGGTGGCATATGCCTATAATCTAAGCACTCAGGAGGCTGAGGCAGGAGGATCAGTGTGAGTTCTAGGACAGCCTTGGCTACATAGTGAGTTCAAGGACAGCCTGGACTACATAGTGAGACCCTGTCTCAAAATAATATTTAAAAATTGTTTTATATTTTTGATTTGATAGTACACATTTTACTGATTGATAAATGTCTTTAATTTATGAGCTAAGTGCACTGATTGCATTTCATCTTGATGCCCATCAGTCAAATATATTTCCATAAAATTTATTCTTAGGTTTTACTTTCTTACGAGTCTCATGGAATTGTATAACTCAAGAAGAATCATATGAGTTTCCCTTTTCAGTCAAAGATGAGGGTGAAGAGGCAGAGAGATTAATGACCTGTGCACAGTCTCCCATCAAAGCAGTGACAAAGCTAGGTTTTCACTTCAGATCTTGCAGATGAATCCTTCCTATCCTAATATGAAATAATTTTTTAAAAAACCAAACAGTTTTCTTGTGAAAAAATATTTCTCCAGCTTCTGACACAGGTTCAGTAAATGCCCCCTCTGTGTCTTCCAGGTAAGCTCCTGGGTGACATGGCTGATCCTAACGGCAGGATCCATGGAGGAAAAGCGGGAAGTGTTCTCATATTTGGTGCATGTGGCCAAGTGCTGCTGGAACATGGGCAATTACAATGCTGTCATGGAGTTCTTGGCAGGCCTCAGGTAAGTCAGTGGGAATGTAGTGATCTGGACAGTTTCCTCTCACCAGCCAAATGACACTGATTTAATTCTCTGAACAGCCACATTCATCCAAGATAGGCAATTGGTAGTGATCATTTTGGATATACTGTCCTCTTCCAGCCCCATCAGCCCTGTCTCTTAAAGATACTACAGAATTCAGTCTCTATAACCCAGTCACGGTCCTGCTTTGTTGTGTCTGCACTGATCTCTGGTCCTTGGCCAAGCTGAGTGAAATGACTAGGTTGCATGCCTCACCAACACTGCCCTTTCTTGTCCACAAACTCCACTGCCCTCTCTCTTTTCTGCCTTTGAATTGCCCCAGTACTGAAAGCTCCCGACCATTTCCTGCCCCTGGTAATAATAGTTGCTGACAATGACAGTAAACTTCCAATGTTAACTCTCTCATTATTGAGCACTCATTATATGTCAAGTACTGGACTAGCTAAGTACTTTGCACACATTATATCTTATAATTGTCAAAACTTTTTTGAAGTAGTTAAGAGAATTCCTTCACCCAAGAATGCCTCACATAGCTGTGACACAATGGAGGCAACCTAGATTTCAGAACCCATAATCTCAACCACCATGATGTCATGTTCTTATGCCTTGTTTCTCCATCAAGCTGATAAAATTGCTATCCCACCATAAAGTCTCCTACCCTGCTCCATTTCTGCCTCAGTTACTCAGTATGAAGTAACTGCCCTCACTGCTATGAAGGGCAGCATGGTGTGTGAGGAAGGAGAGGACAAGATGACCGGTTAATAATCTGACATTGAGCCCTGCTTCCCCAAGGAGTAACTGGTATGGTTAAGTTACTTGACTTCACTGAGCTCAGTCTGTAAAATGGGGACAATACCAAAAAGCACCTACCTCTCTAGGTAGATGTGCCTGGCATGTAGTAAGACTCCAGAAAGAGAAGCTTTTATTGTTATTGTTTCTTTTGACTCACCCTGACTGTGACACAGGGTTTTGCTATAAATAAATCTTGCTTCATAACATTACAACAGCGAGATTTTTCTTTGATTCTCTAAGTCTGCAGGTAGAGATTGCAAATTTGGAGAGGAAATGAAAATTCCCTGAGTTGGAAATCTTTTTGTCCCTTTGAACTTTCTTAACTAAGAATAAACTCAAATTATTGTGTCATTGGCACTTAAAATGACCATATAAATGCACTAGGCCTGCCTCAAAAAAAAAGTAAAACCTGAAAAGATTCTTGAAAAATAGATTATAACCAGATGATTCTGGTTCTCTTTGTTTTCTACAAAGAATCTATGTTAACATTTATTCTAAGAAAAATGTATATGTTATGATAAAATAGTTCTTTGGGAATTTTTTTTGTTTTGGAAGGGTTTTATTTTTGTTCTCTGAGACAGTGTTTCACTATATAGTCTAGCTGGCCTTGAACTCATGATCTTCCAACTTCAACCTCCCAATTGTTGAATTTACAGACATGTGAGGTCTATTTTAATGATGCCTCAGAAGTCACATCCCGTCACTTCCACTGTTCTGTGTGGATCACATGCAGTCATTGTGGGTGGCGGCCACTTGAAGGCACAACACCACCAGGTATGCATCAGTGGAGACCATCTTGGAGACAGGCTGCCATATACCATATTTTAGATTCTCTTGATTAAAAAATTGCCCTGGAAAACCTAGAATGAATTTGACTTTTAGACGAATGTAGTTTGAATTCAGAATCCAACAAGGCCTCAGAGCCAGGAGAGTCTCACAGATAAGAACGTATAACTACCCCACTGATTACTATGCATTTTGTCTTACATCCCTGACCCTCAACCTCTTAGTGTCATGCTCCTATATTTGGCCTAACACTAAACTGGTTCTTACCAATAGATGAGAAACTTACCAAGTATAGTTAACTCTTTTTTTTTATTTTAAAAATAAAAGGAGGAAACAGTAACAGATAGACAACCTTTTACAAAATAGCGAAAGAACAGTACAGACAATACAGAGTTACAAAGTGGTAGGAAATTAACAATGCTTGTTGTATTACATATTGATATCTTCAGGGTGGTTTCTCATGAAAACAAAGAGAGATATGCAATATTGATCAATCAAGGACTCATTAACAGTTTCTTTCAGCAAAGAAATAGAAGACAGTAGATCAACAATGTTAACTATCCTGTATTTACATACATACAAAATTTCTCCTTCTTTTCGTTCTCTTATCCCACATCCCAGGTGCCCTTGACCCTTGAGCATTTTCCTGTCATTTCACAATGTCTATCATACCTCCTAGTTTAAATTAACTCTTTCAGGTTTTACACAAGCGAGACAATACAGTGCTTGCCCATGCAGGTTATATAAAAGTACCACAATTTTTTTATCCAGTCCTCAGTGGATGGACATTTGGCTTGCTTCCACAATTTAGCAATTACAGATTGTGCTGCTGTGAACATGGGTGCACATATATCGCTGTGATATGATGTTTTTAGACCTTCTGCGAAAATACCCAGAAGGGGAATAGCTGGGTTGAATGGGACTCTAGACCTAGTTTTCTGAAGAATCTCCAAACTGATTTCCACAGTGGTTTCACCAGTCTGCATTCCCACCAGCAGTGGAAAAGAGTTCCTATTTCTCCACAGCCTTGGCAGCATTTTTACTGGGGTGAGATGAAATCTCAATGTTGTTTTAATTTGCATTTCTTGAATGACTAACGATGTTGAACATTTTCTCATGTATTTATTTGCCATTTGTATTTCTTTATCTGAGAAGTATGTATTCATCTCAGCTGCCCATTTTTGGA